CCTCCCTGCGGTCCTTGAGCTTGGAGGTCCAGGTTGGGCTGGGCGGCCCCGGGTCTCCCTGCTCACGCCCGAGGCTGCACCGGGGAGGCTTTGAGAGGCGGAGAGAAGGGAGCCGGGCCACGGAGCTCGCAAGACCTCTCCGGGCTGCCTCCTCTCCGCCTCCCACAGCCCCCCCCCCGAGGGAGCGGGGCCTAGGGCTGAATGTAGGGCACTCGCGCCGGCTGGCTGAAGTTAATCTGTCCCCCGTTGGGCCTGGCAGATGATGGCTCTTCACTGCGGGCTGCATCAGTGGAAAACAAAATAAATTCCATTGGACTAACCACCGGTTACCTTCTTTCTACTGTCTGTGATCAGGCCAAAAGGATTATTTATCAAAGGCTGGAGGACGCAGAGTTATAAACCAAAATCGGGTCCATAATACTGAGCTTTGGAACACTCTATACTAGGACCGCCTGCAAACCACCGGAGCGCATTAAGCTCCTCCAGTCTGAGGATTTTTTTCCCCCGAGCCAGGCTTAGCATCTTACGCTCGGCCCTTTCAAGTGGCTGAGGATAACCAGATTCCTGAGGGTATGCACTCCTGCGACTGGAGAGTTTAAACTGTCCAGCATGTACTCCTCGACTGCAATTTTTATATAGATACAGTACTTGAGAATTTTATTTAGCACCTATCTTGCAGCAATTCTCATGGAGAACAGATGAAGTTTTAGTATAAAACTTCTTTTACCAGATGCTAAGCAAGATATGAGGGTAGCCACATGCTTTGCAATTGCAGCCAAATTGCAGCAACTGTTGAATTCATTGGACTAGTATCATCCTTACCTTTATTATTGTGCACTTTCCTGAATGGACTGTGGCACATTCGCCTTGTTTTTCTGTGCCACGGTTTCGGATGATTGTCTGATCTTTGATCATATAAATCAAATTAAACAGATCATAAAACAATCTGTGAATACCTTGAAAACTGTGCCGGGATTACTGGAGGGCAACGAGGGAGAGTCAAGAAGAATCTTAAACCTGATATTCTTCATCATTTGATGAGGGCACTTATCAAATGTGTGAATTGCAGGAAATTGGTGGGGTAGCTAATAATAATGCCTAGAGGGCAGACAATATTGATACGTTATGGGAAGGAGCTGAAGAGAACAGAGCGAAACCTACAAGGCAACAAAGGTGGTTCCTCCTGGAGGCAGGGAAGCCTGGGCCCACCACCCAAGCAGGTTCTCCTTCGCTGGGGCTGCTGCGTTCCGGAAGTCCACTGGAACGGCAGACGCTCTGGAGCAGAAGTCTCCAAAGTTGTTTGATTGCGCACTCTGATCAATAAAACATTTTTGAGCATGCACCCATAATGTACACGTGTTTATATATTAACAATTATATACAGCCAGTTACTCCTGAGGACAGGGCTGTGCCTGTCAGCTCGGCCACCTGTTTACTGGATCCAGGCTCCTCCTGGGTGGTTAAAGTGGCCAGGGAGGTGATCCATGGTTGGGTCCGGGCCACAGTGTCAGCCTCTTTGATGGAGGGAGTGGTGCCCCTAGCCTTGAAAGAGACGGCGTCGTGCCCCCTCTTCAAGAGGCTGTCCTTGGACTCAATGGTCTTCGATGACTGTCAACCAGCCTCCAACCTTCCCTTTCTCAGGAAGATTGTTGAGAAGCCGAGGAGAACCCTGGAGGAAAGAGATGATTGAGACCTGTTTCAGTTTGGATTTGGTACTGAGACAGCTTTGCTTGCACTTGCTGATGACCCGTGGTGGAGCCAGGATGGGGGTGGTGCATCCACCCTCGCCCGCCTCGATTTCTCAGTGGCTTTTGAACCGGCTTTGTGGGTTGGGGATTGGGGGCACCGTTTCATGGTGGTTCTCCTCCTTTCTCTGGGGCTGGTTCCAGGCGGTGCTGGTTGGGGGGAGAGATCGTTCCCCAGGCACCTCCCACGTGGGATGCCGCAGGGCTCTGCTCCCTCTCACCTCCGTTTCAGCACCTACGTGAAGCCACTGGGTCAAGTCATCCGCCAGTTTGGGTTTCGGAGTATTGATGATGGTGCGGGTACCTAGGGTTGCAGTCACCCGTCAACTGAAAACCCCAACCCACCCGGCAGGCAACAAAGCAGGAGACAGCCAAACAACCAGGGGTAATAGATGGGCACATGAAGCGCATGGGCAGGACAAGAATCAGACTTGACAATGACAAAAGTCCCAGCAGCCCAAGAAGAAGAAACAGGAGTCATCCACAACATACAGTGCAGGGACTGTAACAACCACCATGTAGGGCAGATGGGCAGACAGCTACTACAGCACAACCAGCACAAGTTATGAAAAGGATAACATTGCCATACATTGGAAACATCTCAGAAACCACCAACAGACGATTACAACCACATGGCATCTCCGTACCACACAAACCAACTAAAACCCTCCAAAACATCTTAACTAAGCCAAAAGACCCAGTGGCCCAAGAAGACAAAACAGGAGTCATCCACAACATACAGTGCAGGGACCATAACGGCCACTATGTAGGACAGACAGGCAGAAGACTGGCAGACGCATCCACGAACACCAACTAGCAGTCAGAAGACACGATGAAAACTCCTTAATCTCACAGCAGGTGGACAGGCTGAACCACAGTTTCAGCTGGGAAACTGTCAGCACCTTAGACCAAGCTAAATCCAAAAATGCGAGGGAATTCCTGGAAGCTTGGTGTTCAGACAAGGCGGCCCGTAGAGATAAACAGCATCTACACACTATTCAAAAGAGGCAATAGAAAAGAAAACAAAAGACCAGAACATCTCCTCACCAGCAATCATCACCCAGATAAGCAGAGATTAACGCCAAGATTACCACCAGATGTACAAGCAGTAAACAATACCCTGATCCAGGAACTACCAGAAGGATAAAAAAAAAGAGGAACAAAACAAACCCCCCACCCCCACCCCAATGCTGGCAGGGCGTGCCACTGTCTATAAACAGGAAGCAAGCCCCACTCCCTTCTAACCCTGAAAATATTACCTGGCCCGGTAACGAAAGTTTGCCAGAAAACAACCCAGCTCAGAGAACCCCAAGGATTCTGCAATCCCTTCTTCCCACACCCCAAAGGCTTGCTTTGCACACCCTCTGGATTGCCTGCACCCCCCTTTGGAGACTGCCAGAAGCACCTGGCCAGGTCCTCCAGTGCTGCAAATCCCCCCCAGGAACCTCCACGGGGGCCCCTTTCTGCCCGCAGGCAGGCATCAGTAACCATCACAACCCCTCAAAGAACAGGAGGAGCCGGGACCTTCGCAGTCACCATCCTCCCCGGTCTACCTTCCGGGAAAGGTGGCCAGGAAGGGCCGGGCATTTTGTGAAGCCACCCCCGACACGCCCGCAAACGTCCGTCCGGACTTTGGTCAGCTGCGGACAAGGTGGGCTGGGCTTGGGGGCGCAGCCGGGCCGGGAGTTGAGCTTGCCCGTCGGCCGCGGCGACTCGCGCGACCCTCTCCCGCGGGCTCCGCTGTTCTCCCCGCAGATAGTCCCGGGCGGGGGCGCGCGCGTTCCAGCGCCGCGGCAGCTCAGGTGCCGCCCCGCGTCCCCGGCAGCCGGCTGGCGCGCGAGGGCAAGAGGCGCGGCTGGTGCTGTCGCGTCGCCGAGTCCGCTCCCGCACAGCCGCCCAGTAGACG